GCGCTCTGGGGCGGGGTTATCGGTGGTTGGCAGGGCCAGCGTAGTGTACCCGCCCACTGCCACCTGCTGATTCTGGGTGGCCCAGCCTCCGTGCCTAGGCACCCTGCCTCTGTGGCCCACGTCTGGGGAGGACTGGCAGGTAGCAACGTGCATTCTGAAGCAGCTTCTCTGTTTCGCACGATGTAGGCTTGGGAAGCTTGGATGTCAGAGCGGATTCTAACTCTGCCACTTCCGGGTCGTGTGGCCTTGGGGCAGGTTATCTAGCCTCTGAGCCTCTAATCCCCCACCTGTGCAACGGAGGGCCCGGGGCAGAGTCATGGAGGTGTTCCCTGCAGACGACTGCACACAGGGCTCGGCATGCCGTGATTACTCTTCAGCGGGTGCTGGGTGGTTGATGTTACAGTGTGGCTGTGGGAAGGTGGCAGGAGTGTGGAGACCAGCTGGGCAGAGGGAGCTCAGAGCACCCTAACAGGTGCCCCCCCCCCAACTCAGACTGTCCCACAGCATTGAGCTTGACCCAGGAACTGACTCAGCTGTCATGGTGAGGCAGGGGCATCGGATGTGGTGGGCCATTTCCTTGGAAGGCAAGCATTGCATGATCTTTGGGATAAAAACAGGCCTTCACCATGGTTAGTGGTGGTGAGCTTAGGGAACTGCTTCAATCACAGCGAGGGGGACTTGCGTTAGATTTTTAGGAGGATTTGCCTGGTCATGGGTCCCTCTCACAGAAACCCTGAGAAACGGCCTTACAGAGCTGGGCGGAGATAGGAGCGGGTCGTTTTTGGGGTCACCCACTGGGCTCATCTGTCACCTCCTCCTGTGCAGTGGTGAAGTTCATGGACGTCTACAAGCGCAGCTTCTGCCATCCGATCGAGACCCTGGTGGACATCTTCCAGGAGTACCCCGATGAGATCGAGTACATCTTCAAGCCGTCCTGTGTGCCTCTGATGCGGTGCGGGGGCTGCTGTAATGACGAGGGCTTGGAGTGTGTGCCCACCGAGGAGTTCAACATCACCATGCAGGTGGGCGCCTGGGGAGCAGGGCCGGGGGCATCGGGAGGGAGAGCGGGGCCTCTTTGGGCACAGGTGGTCCCAGGCCCTTTCCTGGGAGGCCTCATGAGGAGGACCTAGGACTTGCCTTGCCTGGCTCCGGTCCCTGGGCCTGGTAGGTGGGAGCTGTGGTGGGAGTCTTGCCTTCTTTGGAGAAGAAGATGCTGGTTTGCCAGCCCAGGTCCCCAGCAAGCCTCAGCTGCTTCCTCCTCTCTGACCTTTGCCCCATGGGCTCAGGAGAGGGCTGATACCTGATGCCTCTCTTCCTCTCCTGGAGGAGCCCTGAGGGCTTCGTTTCCTGAGGGCTTTGTCTGGGAAGCTGGAAGAACTTCATCTGTCATCTGCGAAGAGTTTAAAAAGCGAGTCTCTTAGTACCACCCAGTGATGCACACAGCTCAGCCAGACAGGGCGTGGGGAGGACTTGCGTAGCTCTCAGGGGTCCTAGTGAGACTCCTCGAAGGGAAGGAAGGAGGGGGGATGTGGAGTGGTGAGAACCCAGGACTTGAATTCCCAGCCTGGCCAACCCTGTAACCACATCTGCTCTCCAGAGGAGCAGGGTCTCCTTGGGGCCAGCAGGGTCGGGGGAGTCGGGGTGGGCCTGAGGCTCTTTCCTGCCAGAGCCACTGGTCCCCCCTGCCTCCACCACCCGTCCCTGGGAGCTGAGTAGCAGGAGCCCCGGGGTGTCCCATCTGGGTATGGCTGGCTGGGTCACTAACCCCTGTGATCTGCTCTCTTCCTCTCTAGATTATGCGGATCAAACCTCTCCAAAGCCAGCACATAACAGAGAAGAGCTTCCTACAGCACAGCAAATGTGAATGCAGGTGAGGGTGGAGTTGCGGCTGTCCGGGTTCGGCGTCCGGCTGCGAGGTGCCCGATCTGGCCCAGCGTGAAGTGCCTCGCACTTGTTGAACCCTGGCCCCTCTCCAGCCGTGTGACCTTGGGCATCGTATTTCCACGTGCCTCCGTTTTCACATCTATGAAACGGGCATGGCAGTGACATGTCCGTCCTAGCACTGCTGTCCGGACCGAATGAGTTCCGTGTCAGGGGGCTGAAACAGGCTGATGGGTCCCGAACGTCTATGCCCATATTATTATTGTGATTATCCTGGCGTTATCACCATCCTAACTCCTCTCTG